GGACTTAGAAGAATTCAAAATATCAATACTACTAAAATCCCTACTATGCAAGATCTTGCAGATGTAATTATGATGTTGAATATGAGACCTGCTGAAGTTACTACTCTTCGTATTATCCATTATAAACCCGGTGAATCGAATCCTCCTAAATGGTACAAGCCTAGTTATTCTTGGTATTGTATTAGGTATATTAAAAATAAAGGAGAAGCAAAAAATAATCCCAAACCTTGGCAATTTCTATCTATGGAAAAGAATCCAGAACATACAAAAGAATTGCTTACCTGGATTCAAGATACAATAGCAACTAGAAAGTTACGCAATCCTGTCTATAGTATTAATAGAAAACGCAGTACAGGAGTATTTAGTAAATTTTTAAAATCATATGGTATTACAGCCAAAAGATTAAGAAAAATTGGAGGTAAACATGCTTCTAGAGTTCATAGTGGTTAAAATCCAACTTTGCAACATCTCAAATTCCTTAGCAGAGTTGCAATGAAGCATAAGATAGATCATCATAATTCTAGAATGTATTATATCGAGAGTGATACTTCCTATTCTGACCTTGACACAGATCCAAAATCTGAACCTGAAGCCCTAGCTCTCACACTCAAGGCAATTAATAAGAATACTTCTGAAATTGAGGATATCAATGACTTATATGGGAGTATCTAGATTAGTTCACTATAACCCAACTTCACCCTTTCAGATCTGCTTTGCAATAAATCTATCTGAAAATAATTAGACCTATTAGATATTTTTTAGTAAAGTTATATATGTTAACCAACTCACTAACTACACTTACTCTTAAGCTAAATTTTTGTCAGCGAAGATCGAGCGATGATCCTTTGGATCAAGTCTTTGACTCTCCTGGCCCATACTAAATAATTTGTGAATAAACAGATCACCAAATCCAAAATTAGCTTAATAGAATCTGCAAATTAGTTTTGTTAGTCGTGAGAAATAAACTATATAAAAAAGCTAAGTATAAGTAATTTCGTTATTAAAAACTTATCTGGTAACTCATCATTATTATGTCTCTTACTAGTCTTCAAAATCTCGAATATTTTAAAAGAAACAAAACATAACATAGTACAAGACATTGTTGTTACAGAATTGCCACTATGTAAACTATGTGAAAACAAAATATTATCTGTTAATTTCGAATCATTTACAATACTTTCATGTGGACATATATATCATAGAAAATGTATAGAAAAAAAATTTTTACTTACAACAGA